CAATTACTATGATGCATGTGAACCATTACAATGTATTTATACACATGAAACAAAGAATAGTTTGATTTATATTGTTACTACAATTATAGGATTGGTTGGTGGTTTAGTAACAGTATTAAAATTAATTACACCACGTGTAGTGAGATTTCTACGAAGAAAACAAAAAACGGGAATATCCGATGAAGGTAATATTCAAGAACCCTTTCTATAAAGTTTCGTAGAAAAATAACGCTCGTCACAAATAACTTATCCAATATTTCACTCTATAATTTGCCTACAGGAACATTCGAAATAGTGTTGTTGAAAAAGAGTTATATTAGTGTCAGATATATTTACAGACTTTGTGTGCAAGAATGCATCTGTACTAATACGAAGATGTGATAGTTGACATTACAGAAACGTATTATTCGATTGTGGGACCAATTATGGCTGTGCTATGGAGCACTGACAGGCGTTAGTCGACGTTTATTAGAGTTCCATTCACGACTAGTTGCTTCTAGTCCTCACGTTTGCTTCGGTAGTTTTCCTTGTTCTTTTTCCTACTAATAGTAGATACGTTTGGGTGAAACTACTGAAGACTATGAGTAAATTAAGTTGTATATTTAGGCTTGCTACTTCATAGAGGCAAGCATTTTTTTATTGAAAATCTATAACAGATAAGCGCACATTCTTTGAACTGATTACCTTTTAACATCTACTTAGTACACACTTGCTCTTGAGGAACGCCGTCAACAGTGTTTTTAATACTTGTCACTGAGTAAACCAGAACACTCTGGTAAATTGTTTATCTTATACGATCACTTTGAAAACGGTGCATTTTACAATCACCTCAGCCTTGCTTTTGCTTAAGATGTCCAAGAAATCAATAAAACGCACTGATATGAACGCTCTTAATTGTCTGATCTGTGCTGAATACCAATCATAGCAGTGCACTGTAAAAAAAAAGTTTATTGCGAAACGCACCAAAAAGGTTTCGTGGATATCAAAAACTTCCAAATGTGTCAATATTTCGAAATAGATGGTTTTCAAAATCTACGAAACCTAAAAAAGGATCTGACCGCGGGCACAGCTTCCGAACCATCGTCCGCGGAGCCTTTTTAAGTTCTTTACATCCAAAAAAAGGTTTCGTAGAAAAAATACCGAACGTTAAGGTTCCGTACTATGGTTTCACACGAAACTTAGGTTCCGTATTTTTCTAAGGAACTTTTTTTGGGTGTAACGAACTTAAAAAGGTTCCGTGGACGATGGCTCGGAAGCTGTGCCCGCGGTCAGATCCCTTTTAGGTTTCGTAGATTTTGAAAATCATTTATTTCGATATATCGACATATTTGGAAGCTTTCAATATCCACGAAACCTTTTTGATGGGTTTCGCAATAAACTTTTTTTTTACAGTGTGCTTTAGCGAACAAGTAAATGATGTTTCGATGTATATCGGTATTATAACCTTATATTATGATGCTCTTCCTTGTCGCATCCTTCTCTCTTAAACTAACATACGTATCTATCTGTAGACTCGCCAGAGCAAAATGCATATATTTTTTTAACTATAAGATGAATGCGCTCAATTTTTCATGAAAACTGATTAATTTTCGTACACTGTAAGACAACTTAGCTGTGCATCTGGCTTGTCTATAAAAATTTATTAATTTCTGAATAAAACTACATCGTTCACAGAACTATACCCAGAACCAAAGGAAGAGTTTCATATCCGTACCTGTTATACCACGAAAATGTGATCTAACTTTACTGTTCATATTATGCAAAAAATTCTTTTGTTTCTCTTTAAGCGCCACTTGTGCATGGAACACGATTGAGCATCGATCAAATAGTGCAAGACTACATAAAAACTTTCAACATATTTCCATCAAATCCTCCAACACATGATCAACACGAACTTCGAAATCAATATATTTCAACACGATTATTTGTTATTCTTCTCATTCTTTCATTCACTGTTCTTATTCTCTACACTTCATTAATTAACATCACACAAACTATCACAGTCACTTCACCAACAATCAAACAATATTTACAATTATATTCTACTTATGTACAAACATTATCATGTGATTGTAAACACATATCAATTAATCATAACATGTTTCTTAATGTGAAATATACATTTCATCAAATATGTAATAGTGATTTTATCAATCAAGATTGGTTTGATTATCTTCAGAATGCGGGTTTACAAATACTTCTGTATGCAGATGATTTCCGAGGAAGCAGTGTATTTATGTTTCAAGTGCTACAAACATTTTGTGTTTTAAGCCAACAAACAATCAATAATAGTCTGACTCAGTTTTATTCAACCCAGTTTATTAGCTCATCGGTTATATCTAAAGAAGTATTTGAACTTCAAATTGGATCACTTATCACTGATTTCATTTCATCAACAACTAATAACTTCCTATTGTCACTCTCATCAATACGACAAATGACACAGAGTTATAGTCTGTTCTCTGCACATCAAACGAATTTTGACCTCTATGTGTATTCATCTTATTATATTTATACAGCAGCAACTACATACAAAAATTGCAGTTGTGCTACATCAGCTAAATGTGCATATCAATCTCCAATCCGTGATGCTAGTGGTTTAAAAATATCCAGCGTACCTGGTATGTATGTTGGATGTTATTATGTCGAGGCATTATTACAATCAGATCTTCGATGTTTCTATAATCAAACATGTATTAGTGAGATACAGTCTTATTTTACTGCGTCACCACCAATAAATGTTACAGCACTTAATTCATCGTTATTGATTCAGTTTCAAGTCAATTCTACAATGGAAGATGTAGTCAATAAGTTAATGGTTGATAAATGGTCAACATTATTGAATTATTCCAATTACTATGATGCATGTGAACCATTACAATGTATTTATACACATGAAACAAAGAATAGTTTGATTTATATTGTTACTACAATTATAGGATTGGTTGGTGGTTTAGTAACAGTATTAAAACTAGTTGTACCACGAATCATTAAGTTGATTTCTTCACTTATTAGAAAATACAGAATGAAATATAATCAGGATCGAGTGATGCCCATGGTGCACAATTAATTTTAGTCACATTTGTGAAGGACACGCTATGGTCTACAATATTTATATAGAAACATTTATAGATATAAATAAAAAGTATTATTATTTCAATGATATTACTCAAAATTCGATAAACACATTTTTCTTTCGTTAAAAACATGATTTTATTTCTTTTCTTCTTCATTATTCACTACATTCTTTGTCTGCTTCTTATAAATAAATTTCTAACGCTACTAAGTATAAAGAGCCTTTTTGATTTATAAGTGACTAGTATGATTCATTGAAAATATATGAAGAATTTCTCAGAGATCATGATGAGTTTGAAAATGAAGGTAAGAATCACATGTGTGTATCAGTTACAAATGCATTTTCATGATAATTTTTTTGATTGATCGTAAATTAGGATGAGGGTGAGGGTGAGTTTGAACATAGGATGGGAGAAAGATGAAATATTCGAAATCTTTTCATTTGTCCACGAGATTATCAAATTCAATTCATTTCAAGTATCCACAGGGATATGCTTAGATAAGTACGAAAAACTTATCCAAAAATTTCATAAAATCAAAGCAGGACTCGTACCTACATCTTCCGATAACCGGTCTGAGGATATTGGCTGAATACCGCTCTGAACTTAGGATCACCTCATATATGAATGCTTTTCGTGGTTCTCAAGTTTCACTCGGATTGTTTTCAGTTTCCCAGCTTTGATGTATTAAAATCAACTGCTGATTATACATCTGGATTGACTTGCACTCTCAAGATACAGTCGAAGTTTTTATGAATACAGTCTTCAAGTATCTGGACGCTGCTTATTCCCACATGTTCGTTCGATATTACACACATGCATAGTGAAACTAATTTACCGGTTTCGACCTTGCTCACAGGTCTCATCAGATGGCTTCAAAGTGTATCTGGTACAGTAGGTAAGATTATGTCGCTTATGAACACTCCTACTATTACCAACTAGTATGAGCTACCATGACCGGTTTTGTTGTTGTCTCACTCAACTCGATTATTTCTCTTTCTCTCATCTCGCTCTGGATCTGGCCCTCAACATTGACTCTGTTCTAATATTATGTTCTAATTTACTATAACATGTAAAAAATCATAGAGGATCATTAAACAAGTGCTGTTCTTATACTATCAGTAGTAAAGAAACCGCTCGACTTTTTCAAGCCTATAACAGACTTGTTTTCACCTCGATCATCGTATAAAATCTGATGATATTTAACCCATTCACCACGATGGGATGCACCGGTGGACCCCACTATATTTTAGTAAGAAACTTAATAGAAAAAGCTTTCAGCGCAATCCCTTACGGGATAAAAATGTGAAACACGATGAGACTTGCGGTATTGTTCTGGTAATATGGTTGAGAATTTAGAGAGGTGGATTTTGTTGTATTCAGCTTTGCCTGTGAATGAGTTGTAAATAAAAGTATGCTCTCGAGTAGAGTTTTTTGACAAATATTGTGTTTGACGAATTCACATAGAGTCAGACACTGTTTTTTCAATATAGTATCTAGAGAATTTATGTAATGGACTATTGGATAGACAAACGGAAATTTGAGAGGTCGGACAGAAGAAGTGTGAATTTTATCTCAATAAGACCTTTTGTGAAAATGCAGAATGCATAATAAAGTACATACGTTCTATTATTAATGGTGTGAAAATTAATGATGGCGGAGAATAAAAGTAAGTCGGATATTCAGGAAAGTATTCGCGATCAATTATAATATCGAGAAAGGTCTTGGCACGTGCTGTGGATTTGCGGCTAGAGGAAATGTGATTCAGATTTTAACTGCACGTTTTTCAAATGGAATAGTAACATATGTTCATGACTAAGCATATTTCAGAAAGGTTGAAAGAATGCTTGCGGAACTACAAATGACGAACACCTGTAAAATGGCTCTTCTGGTAATTATGATGACAATGAAAAGGAATGGAAAATACGTATAATTGAAGAATGTTCTGTTTGATGTTAGTTTCGACGATAAGAAAAGGTTATGAAAATTCGTATATCGATTTTTCAGTCTGCAATTATGTCAATATGATGATTAAATTGGGGATAGTAGCCCTAATCTTCTTGACAATATTATCACGGCTAAAGCATAGCAAAGAAATATGGAATCAATTTTCTACGCAAATTTCATCGAAAGAAGTAATAAAAAAGTCGATATTTCTCTGTGATAAATCAGCTAGAAACAAATATTGAGGTGTAATTGATAAAGTTAGTTAGCTTAAGTATCCGTGAATCTGCGTTGTCTGTACCGTTAATAGTCAAAGAACTTTACAAATAGTTTGCTAGATATTAGATATTTCCGATTGCATACAGAAGACTAGGAACTTTGTGGAAATTAATAAAGAGAATATGGTGATATAATCGATATATTGTTTAAATTCATGTCTATGGAAGACAGATCTCTTAAATTTTTTGTGTTTTATGAAACGTGAACGATTAGTTACTTATTGTTTAGATGAGGTGAATATATGTAGATATTTGAATCATTTCTTCAAATCAGTAAACTACAAATTATATTCAGTAGAGAAAGAAAGTGGATAACCGAGTAGGTATTTTATATCAGGGGCGTTT